AGAGAGAGAGACAGAGAGAGACAGAGAGAGAGTTAAGTAAATTTATCTGGATCTCAAATGATAGGCGACAACACTTTAGCTATATATTTATAAAGAGTTCCCTCTAAAGACACAGTCTAGTATATACTTTCCACACATCATAGAATGTTTACATTAGTTTACTATGTGTAGACCTACAGTTTTCCAGCATGTCTGTGACAGCTTGTATGAAACAACCAGCAACATATAACAGCTTGACTGGTTGCATACTCCTGCCAATCATCTATTCTTCCAACAGAACACATGATTCACAAATTAAGAATGTTGGTCTGATTCAGAATTGCTGGTTCAAGATTATGTATGAATGACCAGTTCCTTGGTACAGTAGTCCATGCACATACAGAAAAATGCTTTCCTTCACTAATCATGCTTTCTCCTTCCTAATTTCTTTCTGTGATGTATTTATTTCAGCAGTGCCCCAGTTCTTTCCAAAGACAAACGTTGCAATGTGTGGTTCAGTAAGGGTACAGCATACTGCTGATGCTTACATAGTTTATTTATATCACTATGGAAATGTAATGTGTAAATTTTATGTATTAGAAGCAACCATTAAAAGTTCTCTTTAACATAAGAACACTATTCTTTTTCTGCTTTTAGATGTCACTGGCTTCCACAGTCATCTGTGTCCTGCAGATGCTGACAGTCCCTGTTGGCTTAGGTCGCTGCATAGTATCTTCAGGTGTCTGAATCCTTGATTCTAATCAGACAGGATTTCAAGCGTTAGCTGTCCTCCTTGCTGCGTTCAGTCTCTCCACTCACCAAGTCACCACTGGTGAGGATGTAAGATGTCAAGGAAGACAGACAGCAAATGCCTCGAACAGTACCCGCTTTTGTTTTCTAGCTATTTTACTGCCTACAGAGAACTGTGCTACAAGATCTCACACTTCAGCAGACTTGATGATCTGTGAGCCAATCTGGTGATTTTTAACATATAGTCCAGCAGGGTCCTAACTAGTTTACAGGGTGAGTCTAGGGAAGGGAAGATAAAGTAGAAGAAGGTGGCCACTGTGGAGAGTGAGCCCCTGGGAAGTACAAGTTGGTTGTGTGTGGTTTGTATTTGCTGAAATAAATTATTGGTATTGGAGAGAAAGACAAAAGATTGCATGTTTTCTTTCTATCTGGAATCTAAGTTTAGCAACACACACACACACACACACACACACACACACACACACACACGATATGAAAGTAGAAGGGAAAATATTTGGGGGTAAGGATGGGGATCTGTGAGGGGCAAGGAGGAAGGCAGAATAGGGAGTAAATACAAACAAATAAAATCATGTATGGAAATGTCATAATAAAATGTAAATGGTATAATAATACTATAATGCTATCAGTTACCTAGTGTGCTACACCATGGCCATTTGTATCTAATCATGGCAGGGTGGAAATGGAGTCACAAAGAAGAGGCAAGAAAGGGAAATCTACCCGTGATGTCACATTTTGGAGTAGCTACTAGAAAGTCAGGGAGCACAAACATCAGTTCTAAGATCTAGTAGGCTAATAGCGTGATTCAGCAGTGGGATGCTCCTGTGGTATGCTCAGGTGCCTGCACCTGTCCCTAGAACAGTGAATAAATAAGTAAATGAATAAATAAATAAGTATCAGACAGCCCTTAGGCATGGTAATCTTTCCTGTTTATTAAGTGAGCCTGAGCTGTGACAAAGTGGCAACAGTGAAATAACAGAAACACATCACTAACAACAAAACAGAAGTTATATCTGCAATTTTGTAGGGTAGGGATGGAGACAGAAAGTGGGCCTGTCTGATGGGACACATGGTGGTAAGTGTCCTGGGGGAACACAGCAAGGGAAAGGGAGGCCTGAGGAGAGGGCAAGCTGGTTCTGACTCTGAGTGGGCTTGTTAGGAAGCCCTTAGGAAAAGACAGTATCCACACTCAAGAGGAATCCGCAGCGTGAAGCAGAAGCAATCTGGGAACTCACAGCTATGCAAAAATTAACTGCACTGCTGAGTAACCACTGGGCAAAAAGAAAGAAACCTCGAGGTGAACTACAAAATACAGAATACTGTGAGACAGATGAAAATGAAAAGGCAGCAAACAGAAAGCCAGATAAAGTCACACACACAATGGTGTTATAGATATTTGAGGTGTCTATGGTTGTGATAAAACACCATGACCAAAAGCAGCTTGGGAGGGGTTTGCCTCAGCATGTAGTTCATAGTTCATCACTGAGGGTAGGAACCAGGAGGCAGGAGCTGATGCAGAGAGGGTGGAAGTGTGCTTCTTACTAGCTTGCTCCCCATGGCTTGCTTGGTTTGCTTTCTTATATCATCCAGGACCACCTGCTCTGAGGTGGCACTGCCCACAGTGAACTCAGCCCTCCCACATCAACTGTCAATCAAGAAAATGCCCCACAGAGGTGTCTCCAGACAAATCTGGTGGGGCAATTTTCTCAATAGAGGCTCTCTCTCCCCAGACATCCCATGTCAATAGCAACAATATCAAAAGCTAACCAGCACAATGGACACCCATATCTACACTTAAAAACAAGTAAGTTTTTTCCTGATTATCCAAAGAACAATGAACTAAGTGCAAAACAAGCAGAAACAAAGAAAAAACACCAACAAAAAACCACCAATTAAATAAAGTTAACAAAACATTAGCTACACTGACCGAGGCATAGAAAGAAAAACACTCAAATTTTTTTCTATGCAATTAGGAATGAAAGAGGAGAAATGATTATAGGCCTTGGTTATAAGAGAATTATGTGGGTAGGTTTATAATAACAAGTTACATAAACTAAATTAAAAATATCCTCGAAAGATGCACTGACATTAACTCAAAAAGAGGAAGAAGAGAAGGAGAAGAGAAGAGAAGAAAAGAAAAAAAGCAGAAGAAAGAAGCAGAAGCAGCAGCAGAAGAAATCTCTGCTATTGTAGGCAAAACACCCGAACAGATTGTTACAGAAAACATCCAACAAAGAAAAATCTAGCCCCAGTGCCTTCGGTGGAAAACTGCACCAAACACTGAAGGAAGAATTATACTCATCACTTACAACCTCTTAAAACCAGACCTCAGAAAACATTTCTCAAAGCATTCTATGAGGGAGGTCAGTGCTTTGAGACAAAGACACCACTGGAGTCTAAATCTACAAACCCTAGGAACAGTTGTCTCTATTGATGTGTGGGGAAAAGTACACATGCAACACACACACACACACACACCTAGCAGAGTGAATCTAGTGACGTAAGAAAGACTGCACAATCATGATCAAATGAGACTTATTCTAGCAATCTAAGGTTGGTTCAAAATTTAAAAATCAGTACTTTCACATTAATAACAACAAGTTCTTTTTTTTCGAGACAGGGTTTCTCTGTGGCTTTGGAGTCTGTCCTGGAACTACCTCTTGTAGACCAGGCTGGTCTCAAACTCACAGAGATCCCCCTTCCTCTGCCTCTGCCTCTGCCTCCCGAGTGCTGGGATTAAAGGTGTGCGCCACCAATGCCTGGCTAACAACAAATTCTTGATCAACTCAAATGATGCAAAAAAACAAAACGGGGAAAAAAAAACACCTCTTAGCAAAATTCAGTCCCTTTTTACCCTAAACCCCTCAGCAAACCTGGAATATGGGGAAACTTCCTTAATGTGTGAATGGATATCTACAAAACCTCCATAGCCGATACCATGTTTAGTATAAGGAGCTGAAAACTTTGGCCTTAAGAGTAGAAAAAGAATAATAATGTCTCCTGTCATCACTTATAGGTTCTAGTCAGAGAAACTAGTAAAGCAAAGTCATCAGATCAGAAAGAGAGAAAAAAGCTGTGTTTTGATCCATGGTCTGTTTGTGTGATCAGGCATGTGTATTTGTGTGAGCATGCATGTGTGTTAAAAGCTGCAAAATATAAGGTTAGAACTTGATCATGACACACAAACAAACTGTGTATCTAAATATGTTCAAACCATTAAAACTTTTAGATCAATTGCAGTAAATCACTGGGGCCTTGGATTAGTCAAAGTCTTCTTAGTTATAATACTTAATCTCTCCTCCCCGCTCCACACACACACACACACACACACACACACACACTGAATTTTATCAAAATTAAAAACTTGTGCTTTGCTGTGGAAGGGAGAAAATGTTTTTAAATCAGATATCTAATGAAAGGTTCACATTATGAATATATAAGGGATTTTAACAACTCAATAATAGACAAATAACACACCTGAAGTATGCAAAGATGGTGGAAATTGTCAGTGAGATCATTTTGCAAGTCAGAGCTCCCCAGAAAGTAAGCACGGAGTTATCACGTAACACAACGATTCTTCTAGGTGTGGATCGAAGAGAATTCAAATGTACACATAGCTCCACTTTGGCAATGAAACAACTCACATGCCCATCAAAGGACGAGCAGGTAAAGAAAATATGAGAAAGCCATACAGCACAGTGTCACTTGGTGCATGTATGAAGGAAGGGAGCCATGGTACTGCAAGTTGGATGCATCTTAAGGTGCCATGCTTCCTGGATGCGGTCAGGCTGGTGCTCAACTTACACCTTACACCATGGTGCCCTGGAGAAGGGTTCGGGCCCTAGTGGATGCTACCATCTCTTAAATACTATCTAGAGCCAATGTGGGAGCCATTCCTTTTCCTATGTACTATTATCACCACACAGAAAATGCAAACTTAAAAGTATAATACCTTCTCCTAGTGTACATGCCTATCCATTGTATAACTTTCTGTGTGATCAAGATTTGCTGTTGACATTGATCCAAGTACTAAGGATTTATGTCCTTTTTACTGCCCCCCCCCAGAAGACATGGCCATCATTTATGCAGAAGCAATTAATTTGATGGAATTTATCTTTCAGTGATAAAGAGTTCCTTAAATATTTCAACTGAAGTTATTTAAAAAAATAACAAAAATGAGCTCAAATGTTTACTTTTCCTCTATAGTAAATTAAAATCATACCCCAGACCAGTCCTATTTATCCCAAATAAATCACCAGCTACCTAACAAATGAATCCACTAAATATGTCCATGAATCAATAAACTTTAGTTCAAGACTGTAACTCCTTTTTTCCTCTCCATGGAAAAACTTCTCTGTTAGAAAACTACTGTATGATGCTGTGGTAAGGAAAGGGGTATTTGTTCTTTGCATGTTATGAATTAAAAGTTCATAAGAATGTGCCCCATTTTCATTATGGGTATGAGCAGTTTTCCCAAAAGCATTTTACTGCTGAAAGTGTGCATGAGCTCCCATGGCATCCTGCCAGCCTGCAGATTCTGATGCTGCCAGTCTGGGGTGGGGCACAGTGTGACTTTCATAGCGTGCCTCCTGGTGATGCTGGTAATGTCGGTCCAAAGGCTGAGCTTTGAGAGGGCAAAGGTCTAAAGTATATTGCAGTGCTATTTCTTTGTTACTTCTAACTAAGCATTTAGCACAATTTCCCAAGTATCTGCCTATATGGAATTTATAAACAATAAGGGGTTACTCAGATTGCAAAACACCGCCCCCCCACACAATACTTGCAGATGACCTTATCTCCTTTTTGCGGTTCCTTGTTTTACAACAGTACCCCCAGTGGATTGTAATTTTGGAAATAAAGCTTTCAAGAAACTAATGGATCTCTCATTGTCAGCACTAAGGCCCCTACCCCTGCCTTACAGTGAAATCTGAAAGCATATTGATGACATTTGTCTTTGCATTTCATAGGAAATAATTACCCTAACACTTGACAATTTTTACTCCTCTCTTGGGAGAAGCAGTGTCTGTCCATTAAAGAAAACAGTGTGAGAGAACTCTCCTCCACCCACCTTCCTTGGCTATTTCAGATGCTTTTATTAGAATTTTGATGGCCTGTTTGTATTCTTTGTTTTCCAGCATTCTGTCTGAGAGCAATTTGTAGGTCCTCACGAGACTTTCACAGGCCAGCAGGTTGAGAAATTGACCTGTCTCGTTCTTCCATATCCGCCCCTGTGTCAGTTCGTGGAACGCTTCATAATGCTGAGCAGCTTCCAGAAGCTCACCTGAAGAAGAAAAGCCATTCATCAATACAAAGCACAGGCCAGAAACAGCTTGTTTTCAATAATTCGCATGTGTGTTAGCATTACTCATAAATGGGGAGAGATGCGCTTGATACCTGTCTCATCATTACGAGTAAAGGGTGGGAAGAGAGGCAGGGGAATGCAGTTCAAAGGAGCTGAAGTGGAAAAGGATCTCCATTTAAGGGGGCCTCAGATTCAACAGTGAATTCTGGTTAGACATCTCCAAGGTAGGTGAACCTCAGCCAGTAGAAATGACTGCGATTGTGCAAGTTCAGAGACAGCATGAGGCCCACCAACGGTTACTAGCCTCATTACATTGGCTGGTGTCTCTAGAACGGTTTGATGGCGTGGAGTTCACATGGCTCCATTTTACAGAAGGGGTATTGGAGGTTCAGCCCGACATTGTGTGCTTAGAGGGTGCAGAACTGTGAAGACCTTCAGGGCCCGCATTGTCCTCATTGCTTTCTGGAGACGACAACTGCCTCACTCACAGGGAGCGTTTAGGTGTCATGAGAAGAATGCACCAGCCACACATTTCAAATGAACACAGGGTTTTAAACCTGCTTCTGGGAGTCTGAAGGAGGCACCTCTGTGCTTGCCTAGTCCTGGATGATGCAAACCTTGTTGAGTTGTTGCTCTAGAGTGTATCTTATCAGCTGTTCCCAAATGTCTCTTCTCCAATCCCAAACTCTAAATTAGTCTTAAACCATTTCATTCCAAAATATGAGGCAGTATATTTCTGGGAGAGTGGTTTGCAGTTCCACACTGCAGACTGTAGTCTACATGTTAATCACCTTGGGAAACGATTCTGCTCTCCAAAGCATAAGCAGCTTTGGCAGCATCAGAGTGAGCCCACTCATCATAACTAGCCAAACTCACCTAGGCATTTCCACTGTAACAATTAAAAGTGAGTGAAGGTTTCAAGCAGGCAGACTGTTCATTTCAGTCTTATTCCTGTTTTGTTTGCTTGTTTGTTTAGGCTAATTACTGCCCCCTCTGTGCCTTAGTTTACTATTCTGTGAAACAGGCATATAGTGAAACCATTCAGAATTAATTAGTGCAATTCAGTGTATTATGAAGTTAGTGTAAAATATTACATTATAAACATTAGAAGTGGTATCAGTTGGCAGAGTAATAGCATTTCTATAATAACTAATAATTGTAATGTGAGGTTTTCTTGGCCCAGCTAGGTACCGCTGCCCTTCACTGCCCCAAAGAAACACACAGATGCTATATTAGTATAAAGCTGTTGGCTGTGACTTGGGTTTCTTATTCTTAACCCATAACTACTAATCTATGTATTTCCACATGGTCATGGCTTACCGGACCTGCAACTCCTTTGCCTGCTACATCTCCACAGAGAAGAGAAGAGAGCAATTTCCTGTTTGACCCTGTTTATACTCTGATTTTGCCCAGATACATCACTTTCTGCCTGGCCAATCAGCCAATCAGTGTTCTATTGATTAACCAATAAGAGAAACATACACAGAAGGACTTCCCCCATCAAATAATCAGTTGCAATATAGTTACTATATTTACACTTTAGTACAGCTTATCCTTCAAAATGTACGAATAAGTCCTTCTAAGATGGCAGTTTAAATTAACCCTCAAAGTTCACATTAGGAACACATTTCCACAAGTTGTTTCATTGGATGGTGTGGGCAGGGATGGTGCTGCCCTGACTATTTATATAGTCTGTCAACGTTTGTTATACTGAGTTTCTTATTGAGACTACTATTGGTGAATACACAACCCAACTAGCAATCTTGGGACACACCTGTATAACCCAGCACTCGGGAAGCTGGTGCCAGAGGATCAGGATTATACAGGGAAGGCTATTTTAGGTAGTGTGGTAAGGCAGGGTCACAAAAAATACGTCAAAAATAAGAGTGATATTTCCAAAGAAAGGTAAACAAAGTGGAGCCACTGGCAAGTAAGTGGTAACGAAATACAGTACAATCATAGCCAGTATGAGTTCTTACCAATGCAGAGGTGGGGAGTAAACAAAGGTACTTAACCAGAAGGCAAGGAGTCCTGCAGAGTTGTTTAGAAACCTATCCTACAGCGTTGGAAGGGAGTAGAGCACACAGCCATAAATTGATATTGCTGAAGGATGCTTCATTTCATAGGTGTTACAATGAATGAAAATATCAGAAAACATCTACAAAGTGCTCTCTCTGGGAGAAGGGCTATGGTCATAGGCGGTTTCATTTTTCTTTTTCCTTTTCTTTCTGCTTATTGACATTTTTGAGAATTTCTGTCATCCAAATATGTTTATTTTGTACAAAAATACACAACGGAAGTCATTTAAAAATAAGGCCTGATCTCTTTTCACTTTGGACACTCTACTTCAATCTGTCTTTGCTTGCAGAAGATGGTTTTCATACCTCCTGTAAAGGCCAGCGTAGCTTTCCATTGATGCTTGTAGCACCTCTCATCAGAAACACCTTCCTCAAATATCCATCATTTTGGAACTTCAATGGAGCCCTGGTGTGTGTGTGTGTGTGTGTGTGTGTGTGTGTGTGTGTGTGATATACTTCTGTTAACTATATTTTCGCCCATAAAGTATAGCATTGTGATTCTGCAGAGATACTTCTCCAGCATCCATCTATTCATAAAGTGGAGATACATTTTTCTTCTGGACCATGTGAATAGGGAATAGTGGATACAGGGAGCTGAGAAAATCGGGGGAGTTCCAGGAAGAAAAAAAAAAGGAACCATAAAATAGATGGTGCTCTAGATAACACAATTAATTTAAGTTAGATGTAAATGGGCATAATGGTTCAAGTATCAAGGTGATATCCTTGTTCAAATTTGGAGACTGGCAGGGAGAGGAGAAGGGAATGCAGGTGAACCCCAGTATGGGAAGGGCCAGAAAGGATGGAGGTAGTGTCTCTGTGCTCCCTACTTGCTACCAAGTCTTGAGGGTTGTTGGGTTTTCTGGATAGACTCAGATGTGTAAGGAGGGATAAAGTCTGGCAGGCTTTTGGGGTACTGTTCACTATGAAAGATCATCTTGGAGTAATCAGAAATGGTATTTTTGTATGAATTTGGAGTTTTCTAGAGCTTTGGGGTTAGTATCAGTGGACTGCCTAGTTCAAGACTGTCTGGGACTACTACACTGGCCACGGCACCACAAAGTGTCAGGAATGTAAAATTACCTCACTTAAAATTGCAGGCTTACATCTCAAGGCTTGATGTAATGCTCACTTGTCTCTTCAGGCTGGTAATATTGTCACCAGATCCGGCTGTCCCTGTAACTATTAACAAAAGGAAGTGACAACTCATCACGTGTCTCTGGTTGGTTTTCCTGAATAGCTAGGTTCATAATTAGCTCCATTAAAACTCTTTTTTTCTCTTCAACCATGTGGGGATTCCTCAGAGACACTTTGAATTCTTCAGATGTCCCAAATGTAGTGACTTCAGCCAACCAGTCATGACTTCAGTCATGCCTGTCACTGCTTTGGTGCTGATGTTGTCCCTGGGGTTCTGATAAGCACTTTCCAGACAAGGGTTTGCACAGGAGAGGTTCCAGTCCTTCTCAAAGGCAATGTTTCAGTCCTCAAATTTCTTAATGGAAGCAAATACAGCTGTAAGGATTTGATACAAAGGGCCACAGGTACACAAAACTCCACAATGTCTAAAAGCTGTTCAGAACTTGAAAGCATGCATTATAATACATCATATACTTTACTTAGAATATTAAAAGATACGCCTATGCCACAATAAGAGTATAGTAACTTAAATGCAATTTCCCTTGAAGCAGGATCAACAATGGCATGGTTTCTGTCCAATCTATCCCCAACAGCAATAAGGATCTTAGTAATTATTTTATGTTATGAATAAGTGTTCTGACGCCAGTTGAATAGGTATCTAGTGAAATATATTGCATGCTGCTTTTATCTGAAAACTTTCACAATATTGCTGAAGTTTTGGAAAAGGCCATAAACAACTCATTTTTTTTTTTTACCAAGCTAAGTGTAAATACCAATGAAGATAACAAGCCAGCTTTTTAGTTACCTTTCTTTGCTGTGATAAACACCATGACCTAGGCAGCTTAGAGAAGAAAGGGTTTATTTGGGTTTATGGTACAGAGGGCAAGAGTCCATGATGGTGGAGTGCAGGCAGCCAGTTGCAGGCATGGTGGCTAGAGCAGCATGTTCACATCTTGAACCTCGACCATGAAACAGAAATGTTGCAAGATATTTGATTACACTGTGTAAAAAGATACATCACTGTGATTGGTTTAATAAAAAGCTACATGGACAATAGCTAGGGAGGAGGTATAGGTGGGACTTCTGGACAGAGACAGCTCTGGGAAGAAGAAAGGGGGAGTCACCAGCAGGACACAGAGGAGGCAGGACATGCAGGATGGAAGGTAAAAGACACAAGCTGCATGTCAGCATGGAGATTAATAGAAATGGGTTAATTTAAGTTTTAAGAGCTAGTTAGAAACAAGCCAAGGTCGAGCTTTCATAATTACTAAGAAGTCTCCATGTCATTATTTTTTTAAAGAATTTATATTTTAATTTGAATGCCATTTAAGCCAAATTTCTTTTTTTTCAACTTTTTAGAATTTGAATTAGAAACAGGATTGTTTTATATGACAATCCCAGTTCCCTTCTCCCTCCTGTCCTCCCCTACCACCCACCCCCATTAAAATCCGATCTATCACATATCCTTTCTGCTCCCCCTGGATGGTGAGGCCTGCCATCGGGTGTCATCTGAGTCTTTCATATCCTTTGGGATAGGGCCTAGGCCCACCCCCGTGCGTCTTGGGTCAGGGAGTATTCCTCTATATGGAATGGGCTCCCAAAGTCCATACCTATGCTAGGGATAAGTACTGAACTTCTACAGGAGGTCCCATAGATTTCCGAGGTTTCCTCAATGAAATCCATGTTCCTGGGGTCTGGATTAGTCCCATGCTGGTATTCCAGCTATCAGTCTGGGAACCAAGATCTCCCTGTTGTTCATGTCAGCTG